GCTACCCTGTACTGACCCTGCCATTTACACCAGTAAAGTCCTTAAGAAATCCTGAGCCAAATCCCAGTATCATTCAACCTACAAGTGGGAATTACTTCTCAGCACCTCCCACTTGCCAACCCAAAGCCTCCTGAAATGGACAATGGGTACACAGATGCCCTGCGCACCCTTGAGATGCTCAACAAATCACATATCTGAAACCTCTTTAAACAGGAAAGATCACAATGCAGGAGCTCAACTGGTCCTCCGTGACAGAATTCATTTTATTGGGCTTCACCCCCAACCCCAGGACCAATCCTCTGCTCTTCACTTTCTTTTTAGTCTTTTACCTGTTGATCCTCTTGAGCAACAGCCTCCTCATCACACTCATCCGCCAGGACTCACGCCTCCACACACCCATGTACTTTTTCATCGGCGTCCTCTCCATGCTGGACGTGTGCTATACCACCACCACCGTGCCCCAGATGCTAGTGCATATTCTCAGCAAGAAGAGGGCCATCTCTTTTACAAGATGTGTGGCCCAGATGTACATCTTCCTCCTCTTTGGGGTCACTGAGTCCTGGCTTTTCTCCATCATGTCTGTGGACAGGTACGTGGCCATCTGCCACCCGCTCAGGTACAAGGTCATCATGAGCCATGGGATGTGCCTCCTCATGGTGGGTATCTGTGCCACCTATGGTGTGGTGGGTGGCCTGTGCTATACTTTCTTTGCTATGCGGCTGCCCTATTGTGGTCCTAATGAGATCGATCACTACTTCTGTGAGGTCCCCGCTGTTCTGAAGTTAGCCTGTGCGGACACATCGCTCAATGACTTGGTGGACTTCATCACGGGCTTCAATGTCATTGTGGTCCCACTCTCCCTCGTTGCCATTGTCTACGTCAACATCTTCACCTCCATCATGAAGATCCGGTCCACCCAGGGGAGGATAAAGGCTTTTTCCACCTGTGCCTCCCATATCACTGTGGTTACCATGTTCGCCATTCCGTGTATCATCATGTACATGAGTCCTGGCTCTGGCTCCTTATCAAACAGTGGCAAGAAAATGGCCCTCTTCTATAACATCGCCACAGCCTTCCTCAACCCTGTCATCTACAGTCTAAGGAACAAGGATGTGAAAAGGGCTTTCCTCAAACTGGTGGGACGGAGCGGGGCTCCAGAGTGAAGCTTTAAAGCTAAATACCTGGGGAGCTGAACAGAGTAGGACATACAGTCACCTCCTTCCAAGGGATTCTTCCATGAAATAAGCAAGATCCAGACTCTGTAAAGATAGCTCCTGACCCTTGTCCAGTCTGGGGAAGAACAAGGGGCTCAGACATCTACAGTAAGTGACATTCCCTGAGACAGACAATTATGAAGAAAGGATCCAGTGCTCAAGAACCTGGACTTTACTGCCAGACAGAGCAGGGTTAGAGAATTGGTGCTGGGGTTTGAATGTGAACTGTCCCTCATAGGCTCATGTATTTAAACACTTTGTCCCCAACTGGTAGCAATGTCTGGGAAGGTTGTGGAACTGTTAGGAGATGAAGCCTGGCTAGAGAAAGTGGGCCACTGAGTTTTATGACATGGTCTCACATCCTGTACCACCAAGACATCGGGAGGGGAGGAGTCCCAACTGCACACTGCTGCCTTCCTGGGGCCATGTGCCACATGCCTTCCCCACAATGATGGACTATGCCTTTTCCCAGTGTAAGCCCAAACAAAGCCGTCCTCCCTTAAGTTGCCTCTTGTCAAATATCTGGTCACAGTAACAAGGAAAATGACCAATAAAGCTTTACCAGTTTCTAAGTTTGTGAACTTTGCAAGTCACTTAACTATTGCAATTTTTCTAATTCTTTCTCACAGGGAAACTACATGTCTCACATGTAACAGCGGTTACATGAGGTAATATATGGAAATACCTGCTACCGAGCCTGGCATATTTTAGTTTCTTTTGGCAAGTGTTATTACTTTTTAAACACTTCTTTTTAAATTCTTATTTTATTTTATGCTATTTTATTTTATTTGTGCTGGGATGTTTTGCCTGCATGTCTATGCACCATGTGCATACAGTTCCCATGGAGGCCAGAAGAGAGCACCAGATCCTCTGGAACAGGAGTCACAGATGGTTGGGAATCACCACGTGGGTACTGGGAACCAAACCCAAGTCATCTGTAAGAGCAGCCAGTGCTCTTAACCACTGTGCCATCTCTCCAGCCACTTATAGTTAATTTTCTATATTCATTATTGAGCAATGAACCATCATGCATCAATCAACTGTGATCCTCTTAGGCTCTGAAAGTGGCTGGAGAGAGTGAAAAAAGAGAGGGAAATGCCAGAACCAGAAATTCAAAGAGACTCTGCTGAGAAGCAAACCTGTGTCTGCACCCTAGAACATCTTTGGATGCCCCCTAGAGCATCTCCGGATGTCCCCTAGATAAACTCTGAACTCTGTCCACACAAGGGCCAGAGAAGTAAGGGAAAGTGGAAGTATGGAGAGTGGGTATAGTGTTATCCTGAGTCTGGGGAGAGAAGGGAACCCAATGGGGAGTTTGAAATCAGGTCTTTCATGAATAGAGGAACCTTCCTTCCTGCACTCTCCTCACTCCACGCAGGAGCTTTATAAGTACAGATCATTTCTGTGGGTTGCACTGTCCCTAAGATGCATTTCTAGGCACCATCACATTTATTGGTTTTTGCCTTTACTTTACACTGCAGAAACCCTATCCCTCCTTCCCTACCCTTCTCTATTGATATGCCCGAGTCATCAGCCAAACAGTGTAGTAACTAATATAGTTGCTGTGTAATTATTCGGGTCTGGGCAACTGAGAAATGAACGCACAGTCTCTGATTACACTCTATCACTTATCTACCTGTCTCTCTCAAATACATACAAATAAAACTTTTAAAAGACATATTTAAAAATTTTATTCCAGTTAGCAAATAGAACAAATACTTAGGAAATAAATAAATAAGCACATAAAATAAATTCCCCACCACAAGCTGTTAATCAAATGCAAATGCACACAATGACACCATTGTAGTTCCTGTTAGACTGGCTTAAACAAGAAAATCCTGACTACACTTACCTCTAGATAATGCACAGAGCAATGGGAGTTCACATGTTGCCAAACTGAATGTCTCTTAAGAAAACATAGTCATATTCTGTTTGAAAACAACTTCATCTAGCAGAACTCACGCACTGTAAAGTCCGTACATTGTATGTAGATAGCTCAGTGTTTTACTATATTCACTGAGTTTCCTAGTCATTAGCATACTATAACTTTAGAGAATTTTCATTGCCTGAAAAGAAACTCCATACTCTTAAATAATTTCTTCTTCATTCCCATTATGCCCCTAGGACCAACAACCACATGAGTCCACTTTCTCTTTCTAAGAATTTGTCTATTTTGGATTATTTTATATAATGGTTTGACATACTACATGAATTTTTGCAACTGGCTTCTTTAATTGATTTCAAAAAATCAACACTGTAGCATATACATAGTACATATTGTATACATTACATATGTGTGTGTTTGTGCTTAATATATAATTTATTTGTTCCCTTTTAATACAAAGTATATTTCATGTGTTGGCATACCATATTTTATTTACCCATTCAGCTAACAGACTTTGAGTTGATGGTCTTGCTTTTTAGCTCTCATGAATAAAGTTGCTATGATCACAAATATACACATTTTTAAAAACATTTTATGTGTATTGGTGTTTGGCCTGCGTGCATTTCTGTGCTCCACAAGTATGCAGTGCCTGTAGCATCCAGAAGAGGTCCTCTCCCCTAGAGCTGGAGTTATAGATGGTTGTAAATTATCACATGGGTGCTGGGAATTAAATCTGGGTTCTTTGGAGAAGCAACAGTGCTCTTAACCACTGAGCCATCTCTCCAGCCCCCAGTGCGCATTTTTTTTATAATCATGTATGTTTAACTTCTTCTAAATATGTATCTAGGAGTAAAATTGATGGGCCATGTGTCCCTCTGCATTGAATATGTGAGGAACTGCAGACTGTTTCCAAGGCAGTATTATCAGTGTACATTCTTCCCATCAGTGTAAGTATTCTCAGTATTGCACAGCCTTCCAATGCATCTGCCTGTTTAAGTACAGACACACTGGTACATATGAAATAATTTCTAGCTGCGGATTTCATTAAAATATTATTATAAGATGAAGTATACACATATCATATGTCCTGAGAATCACATTCCTGAATATTTATTCTTAAGAAAAAACAAACCTTTTCCAAAAATCTGCACAGGAGAGCTCGGCAGACAAAGGCACCTGCTGTCAAGCCTGGCCACTTGAGCTCAGTCTTCAGGTTCCATATGGTAGAAGGGAAAACTGACTCCCACAAACTGTCCTGCAACCTCCACATGCACAGCTCAGCACACTTGTTTCCTCCCATAAGAAATAAGAAAATGGCACTTAAAAACTATTAGAAGAGAAAAAAATTTACACAAATATTCTAGAAACATTACATGGAATAGCCAAAGAATGGAAAATATCATTATTGTACTCAAATTAAACTTGACAACACATAGAAACATGCTACTGTTATACATAGTATTTTGGAGAGATTACAAGGGTATTAGGAAGAGTAAAAGAAGAAAGGCTTCATCTGTTTATGTAACATTCACAAAATGAGGAAGTTATGCTGATGGAGAAAAAACAATGACATCAGTATCAGAGGTTAGAGTTGGGGACCATATTTGCTTCCTTGTGTGATGATGGAATAGTTCTATACCCTGATGGAGTTTTATGAACCTATGTGTATGATCGGTTTCCAAATAATTATATACCAAGATGAGTACATGTAATAGATGGTAATACCCCAATAAAGTCTTCAGTAAGTTACTGGTGTTGAATCAAAGTCAGCTCACTGGATATAATATAATATAATATAATATAATATAATATAATATAATATAATATAAAAGACATTCATACTACAGGAAGTGCATGATGAGAGTTCCAGAAGGCTACTAGTCTCACAACCCCCAAAACCTTCATCCGGACACTTTGCTGCAGCCTACCACCTTGAAGAAAGCCCTTTTCACGTCTTTATTACGAAGACTGTAGATGATGGGGTTGAGGAAGGCAGAGATGACATTGTAGAAGAGAGCCAGCTTCTTGTCCTCTTCTGGAGAAGATTCGGAGCCAGGTCTCATATACATAATCATACATGGGATCGAGAACATGGTGACCACAGTGATGTGGGAGGCACAGGTGGAAAAGGCCTTGATCCGCCCTTGAGTTGAGCGGATTCTCAAGATAGCAGCAAAGATATTGATGTAGACAACAATGATGAGGGAAAGAGGGACCAGGAGAAGGATGAAGCCTAGGATGAAGTCCACCCGGTCATTGAGAGAGGTGTCTGCACAGGCCAACTTCAGGACAGCGGGGACTTCACAGAAGAAGTGGTTGATCTCATTGGGGCCACAGTAGGGAAGAATCATAGCAGAAACCGTATATATCAGGGCACAGCTGACACCCCAGAACCCACAAAAGGCTACCAGTGACCCACGCAGCAAAGGGCTCATGATGACTTTATATCTGAGAGGATGACAAATGGCCACATACCTATCATAAGCCATGATTGCAAAAAGCCATGATTCGGTGATTCCCAACATCAGGAAGATGTACATCTGAGCCACACATCCAATGTAGGAGATGGTCTTCTTCTCACAGACCAGATGTACCAGCATCTGGGGCACTGTGGTGGTGACATATCCCATATCCAGAATGGATAAGACACTGAGGAAAAAGTACATGGGTGTGTGGAGGCGGGAATCCATGCGTATCAATTAGTGATAATTAGTCCATTGCCCAGGAGGGTGATGAGGTAGAGGAGAAGAAAGACACCGAACAGAATACCATTTATCTTCGTGTCACTAGAGAATCCTAGCAGAATAAACTCGGTAAGAGAGCTGCGATTTCTCCAGAGGAAGTCCTGCATCCTTCTCCTATTGCAAAGATAGAGCAGAGCTGTCATTCAAGAAAGAGAAGCCCCTAGATGCTAACCCTGCGGCCATTCATACAAGAGGTGCACCAAACATGAAGAGAAAAGCCAAGTACACATAGGTGTCCGACAGAGCTGGGGACAGGGTTTAAAGAGAATTTCCGTTTAATATGAAGCAGCATGCTCCTCTTCTACCATGCAGCTCCAGCTCATTCTGAGATGACAAATTATGATCTCCACAGGTCAAAATGTAGAATTTGCAAAAGAGTGGGGGATATCCCAAAAGTAATATCTTCTAATTCGTGGTCCATACAGCTTAAGATGTTCTGGGAAGAATTGGGTGTTTAAGAATGCAGCAATCATGTACAACTAACATCGAAAGTCAAAGTCTGACTTCATTTTGCAGACCATCCCCAAATTGACTTTAGTTGAATAGCTCAAAAAGCATGATGGGTACCCTCAGACTCGACAGGCATGGCTATCAGTCTGACTCCCTGGAACAGTGGGGTTATAACTATCATTGGAAACAAGTAATCATTGGAAACAGTAAGTCAAAGCCATGTATTTTCACACACTGTAGGCAAATGACAAGGAATGAAGGACAAGCCAATAACTAAAGATGGATGGCCTACGATTTTCCCAAATGGAAGAGACACCTACAGAACATAGAGATGCTGTCTAGGGAACACCAAGAAAGATAAATTTAAAGGAAGATGGCTGAAAATAAACCGAACAAACAAAACAAGTGTTGTCCTGAAACTGACCTAAGAAGAGAGGTTATGTTTCTTCAAACGATCAGCGATGAGGCAGGCTGTGGTCTTTTCACAAGAAATAGAAGGTAACTGAGTAACACATTTAAGGTGGTGAAGAGGGAGAGGCAGAAGAGGGAGGGAATGGGAGGAATGGAAGAGAGGGAAGATGAAGAATGTACACTGAGGAAGGACGCAAACTACCAACCTAGAACTCAGTGAAGGAGCCGTTTAGGAATCAAAGTCGATTTCTCTCGAAAGAAAGCAGGTCATTGGTTACCAAAGACCCACAGCAAAAGATGCTGCAAAGGACTTCTTTAGTCTGGAGGAAAACGGCCCTCTGTGGAGCGCAGAACTGAAAGGGAGAATAAAAGGCACAGAGTCAGTGTGTGAGCAGAGATGGCAGAATATTGACTGTTTAAAGCAGCAAAAATAACCTCAGAGCAGAGTATGTGTAAGAGAAAGGCAGAGAAAGTCTGAGACAGAGAGAGGAGTCAAGGATATATCTGTACAGAACATAAGACTTTCTAATGGGTATAGATGACTACATTCGTAGTTTATATATTAACTACAATATATATTTTATGTATTATGTATATCTGTGTGTCTATATGTCTGTGTATCTCTAGAACATGTAACAAAATATCCCAAAAAACAGTAGGGAAATAGTTAAGATTTCTCCAATGTTTGGGAAGTGATGATACACTAATTCAAACAAGCCTGGAATAGGCCAAAGTCTCTAACGAGCTTTTTCTGTTAAGGAATGGGTAACATTCTACTTTCGTAAACCACAGACCGTCATTGTCGCATGATCATACAATAATGGTCAGTGCGATCACACATGTAGTTGGGACCTTCGAAGATTACAAGAGAACTAAAGAACTACTATTGCCCAGAGGCTGTATTGCCAGTTGTTGGACAGCAATGCCTTGTTCAGATACCCATGATGATGCTGTATAAGGAAACCCACTGCACTGCCAGGAAGATGAAAGCGCAGCACATGCAACTATGCCAAGTACCTCACAGTTGAAAACGATGATGAACAATTGACACTGTTATTGTTTATGTACTTGCAATTCTACACCTTTAAATCATTATTATAAAGGTCAATGCTGCTTATAAAATGTTTAGCTCAAAGAACCTGGTGCCTTACAGAGTACACCATTACAGAGCATACACAGGCACAGAGCATCATAGAGTATGATACATCATAGAACACAATGTCATAGAGAGTTATAGAGTACACTGTCTTAGAGCATTTTGTATCAGAGTACCAGAGAGCACTCTGTCTTAAAGAGCAGATGGTGTCATACAGCACACTATCATAGCATATCATCAGCAAGAATGCTGCTTCATAGGGCATGCTGTGTCATGGAGCATGCTGTGTCACCGGGCATGCTGTGTCATGGAGTACGCTGTGTCACCGGGCATGCTGTGTCATGGAGCACGCTGTGTCACAGGGCATGCTTTGTCATGGAGCACACTGTGTCATAGGGCAAGCTGTGTTATATTTGCAGCAGCCTCATACATCTCATGGTTGCCACATTCTTCAATAAAGTCATGAGACGGCTTCAAGAATTTGATCTGTATGTCCTCCAGATTTGTATAAATAATATACCCTATAAACTTCACACTACGACAGATTTCTCAAACTATATCCTTGACATGTAAGAATTTTTTAAAACTAGGCCAGTTTTCCTTTTTAAGTTTTATTTATATTTTATGTGTAAGGGTATGTTGCCTGCAAGCACATACGTGCCCTGTGTGTGGGTCTCATAAATCTTTTGAAAACTCAAAGACCATCCCCAGCGATACACCAGTTCCAATCCAGTCAGGCCACACAAACTGGGAAAAATTAGTTCTACTGTCTGGGGACCAAGTATTCAAACATATGAGCCTCTAGAGGTATTCCCATTCAGACCACCACAGTATTGGCACAAAGACAGACCATAGAACAGTGGCATGTAACAGAGTACCCATAGATAAACACACATAATTACAGCCACCTGATTATTGACAAAGTCAACAAAAATAGATATCAGAGATACGGCAACTTCTTCAGCAAACCATTCTGCAAAAAAAACTGTAACTGCAAATATACAGAATAATGAAACTAGATCACTGTCAATGACTGTCTCTTACCCTTCATAAAAACCAAGTTCATACGGATCAAAGAACTTAACATTAAATGTGAAACTCTGGAACTGCTACCAGAAAGGGAAGGGAAAACACACAGACACACATGTAATTTCTCAACAGGGCTTCAGTTATCAGGACATGAGGCCAACACATGACGAATGGAACCTTATGAAATCAAAGATTCTGCACTTTTAAGGAAACAGTTAATCAAGTTAGGTGTGGTGGTGAACACTTGTAATCTCGGGCAGCAGAGACAGGAGGATCATTGCAAGTTTGAGGTCAGCCTGGACCACATAGCAAGATGCTGTCCAAAAGGGAAACAATGAATACAGACAGATAGGAGCAAATCTTTGCTAGCTCTGCGTCTGACAAAGGATTAATATCTAGAATATGCAAAGGGCTAAAGAACTGACTCACAAAAACATCAAATGATCAGTAAATGTGATAATGAAGTGAACAGAGAGCTCTCAAAAGATGAAGCGCAGATGGTCAATAATCATTGGAAAGATATTCAACATCAGTAGGCATCAGAGGTGTTCAGATTAAGACCATATTGAGATTCCCTCATCAGATTGGCAGTGAGAAAACAAACTCTAGTGAGGCCATGGAAGAGTGTAAGCTAACCCAGCCTCTGTGGAAACCAATGTGGATGTTCCTCAAAAACCTAAGAAGAGATTTACCCTGGTCTGCAGCTCTACTACTCCACGGCAAAATCACAGAGACACTTTCACATTCCTGTTTACTGCAGTGCTATTCACAATCGCTAAGCTATAGAGCTTGTGTGGGTATCCAACAGCAGAGACATGGATAAAGAAGATATGGTATATGCATACAATGGCAAACTTTTCAGCCATAAAATGACTGACATCATGTAATTTTCAGAAAATAAATACAGCTGGGAATAATCTATGAAGTGAATTAAGTCTGTCTTAGGAAAACAGATATCACAAAGTGTCTCTCATTTTCTGGTTCCTAGCTTTTATACAAATACATAAAATCATGTATTTATAAATTATATGAGTCCAGAAAAAAGGAGGCTAACAGAAAGAGGACAGAAAAAAAAAGTAAGGTACAGAGAAAATACACTACATTATACATTATACACAGGCATAAAAACATTCTGTAACTCAATACCATGTACAGTATATACACACCCACGAAAATCAATTTTAAAAAAGAAAAGAAATGAAGAAGGCTTAAGACAAATACCAATCAGGTAGTAAAATGACTACACTCAAACATAATTCCAGCAGAAACTACATTAAATATAAATGCAGCATACAAATCCACTGAACGATCAAGCTAGATTTTTAAAAATTAAAAATAATAAAAGAATTCTGCAATTGAAATTTAAACACTGATGAGGAATAGAAAATATCTATTATCAAGATGGTTCCAATCAGTTTGGAACTTTCTTCCCTGCCCCCCCCACCACCACTTACCTTATCTTGTTCACAGTGTGCTCTGGTGGTAACTGAAGCCATAGGTTACAGGGATGAGGAACTGACAAACTAAAGGACAAAAATGTGTTCTGATTTCCTTTCTTATTGCAGGCATCTCATTCTATTTGCACAATTACAGAAGACTTCCTGGGATAGGCAAGATTCAGATCTTTGATGCTACCAACAGGAATGCCCAGAAGATATGCTTTGCAGAGGATCATGACTTGTAAGACGGTAAAGCAAAAACTAAGTGAGACACGAGTCAGAGCAGGGAAGGTAGGCAAGGGCAGAGCATGCAGGGACTGTCATATCCTGCAAAACAGGTTAATGATGGTGGGCATTACCATGAAGGAGGAAAGAAAAGATTAGATATCAAATCTCTATCTGGGATCAATCACTCTGGCAACAGTGGGGAGAATATATTGTGGGGGAGGGGAAGATGCAGTTACTCAGGAAAGAAGGGTAAGAATGGGAACTAAGGCTGGGACTATTGGCATGAGAAGCAGGCGTTAGAGAAGAGATCTTTCGATCTGTGATTAAATAGTGCTGAGAAAGAGAGAAGGCAAACACATGAATGCCAAGGATGAGAAGGGGGTGTACTTGAGTGCATGTATGGATGATGGTGACATTCACTGAGAGAAGCAGCACAGGAGTGGAAATCAGGATG